AGTCTGATCCTGATCTGCAGAGATATTTGACACACACACAGACAGACACACACACAGACAGACACACACACAGACAGACAGAGACAGACTCTCTGACCTCCTCGATGTACTCAGGTTCGCTCACTGAAGCGTCCCATCGGTTGTGGAGGATGAAGATATTCGGTTTAGAGATTCTCTCGCTGACTTTATGGAAGAAAAGTTTCTCCTGCAGACAGAAGAAGGAAAATATTATAGAAATGAAAGATTCAGTCATTGTTATCTATAATCTATATTATCAATATGTGCGCTCCCTCACCGTGTTCATGAGCGTGGACTCGGCGTTCCCCACCAGAACGAAGACATCGGCGTCCAGACAGAACTTATCGATCCAGCTGTCCAACTCCTGAGTGACATCAGTGCCGGGGCTGGGTCAGGGGTCAGAGGTCAGAGACAATATTCAATCATTCAGTCAGAGTTTATTTGTATTCACAGCTGTAGGATCTCTCTGTTATTATTGTTGTTATATTATTTATTATTGTTGTTGTTATTATTGTTATTGTTATTATTGTTATTGTTGTTATTAGTGTTATTATTGTTTGTTATTTGACAGTAAAGGTTGCCGACCCCTGTACCTAACCAAGTCACTGTTTCAAGCTTTATTTTGAAAGTCTATCTGGATGTGTATTTATTGTTGCGTTACAGGGAAACCATTTTAAAGCAGAGGACCGCTGACTGCTGCAGTCTTCCACTTTTCATCCTTCCACAGACGCAGATCCATACATATTGATAATGTGGACCAGGATCAGGGTCATGGACTGAACCACCTGGATGTTACCTGTCCATGAGCACCAGGTCGTCTCTTAGCAGAGCGCAGCGACTCTTAGGCCAGAAGACTTTAACCAGACTGCCAGAGTCCAGAGTTGGATCCATGTGGAGAGCATGAGCCAGCTGGTTCACCGTCTGAGGAGGAAGAGGAGGAGTAGGAGGAAAAGGAGGAGGAGGAGGAAGGGGAGGAGGAGGAGGAGGAGGAAGAGGAGTTATTAGCAGTCAGCTGACTGATGGACAGAATAACAGTCGGACATTTCCAGAAACTCGGATGAGGTTCAGATTTTCTGAACTGTCTCCTTTAGAGCGTCTGTTTGTCGTACGCTGACGCTCCTCCTCTCATTGGATGCCTCGGTGGTGAGGAACGCCTCGTCTCCGTCGGTTCCTTCCACTCGCAGGAAGCAGTTGGTGGTGTGACCGATGCCGCTGGGTAACACCCGGTCTCTCAGCATGGCGTTGATCACGGTGCTCTTCCCGTTGCTGGTCCTGGGTCACACACAGACATTGTGATCAACACACATCAGAAGTTCTTTTAAAGCATCAGAGTAGGATTCAGCGCCATCTAGTGGAGAAGCTGCAGACTGCAACCAACTGAGAGTCCTCGTACACACATCAGTGTCTACATCCAGACCACCTCACTGCTTTAACTCGGACTGTCACCTTTAATGGTGTTTTATTAATGGTTAATAGATGTTATGACCTCAGCTGTGTTTCACTTCACCTGTAATCTGCTCCCGACCGCTGGTTGCACATTGATGGGTTCGCACTCTGTACAGGACAGCACAAATGGCCTCATATTGACACATTTAAGCTCTATTCCTCCTTTTTCATAACAAAGTGCCCACAGACAGATCTGACTACAGATGTCCTCGAACCCCGGTGGGAGGGCTGAAATACAATGAGAATGTTCCACAACTCAGATTATTCTATTTTGTCATTTTAATCAATTTCCAGGTGTTTCCATGAGTAGTCTCTACATTTCCAGGTTTTCCAGGATGTGGGGAACCCTGTTTGAGTTGGGATTATTGTGTTATTATTAGATGTGTATGTATTATTATTTTTACTGGGAACTTTGAACAGCAGCTTCATTTCCAGACTTTAACTGTTGAGCTGGTTAATTGGCTCTGTGTTGCTATGGAAACTGGCCGGCTTTGGGGCTCTAATGAGAATAAATGAGAATATCACTGGATCACAAACTGAAATGTGGCTAAAATGATCCAACAGAACATTTTCTGCCGAATCCACTTATTACATCATGCAACAGTTATTACATCATCAGTTTCCACGGAAACATTTCATCATCATTTCTGGCTGTTTGTGAAGATAAAACATTTATCTGAGCGCACAGTTTGTTCTTCTTCAGCTATCAGCAGCAGGAATCAGACTTCTGTTACTGCACGCGCTCTGTGACCACAGTCAGCCCACAACCTCCTCTTTCCAGGAACCAGACAGCGAGGAAATCTTCCTCCTGAGGAACCAGACAGAAAGCTCTGTGCTGTGTCCTTGTTCCTTACGTTTCATTATTTCATTCTGGAACTGAAGTCATCACAGACACAGATGAAACATTATTATATCAAATAAGAAATAATATTCAATTATATAGAAAACTACTTTCATATTTCTTCCAAACTTTAGATTTTAGATTTGATGGTGCTCTGTAAGCGTTAGCTCAGCGTGGCTATCGTCACTCTTGTGGCAAGAGGGTTAGAGAGCAAATCCCACTGACAGGAAGTCAGACACAGAACCAGCACAGAGTTCAGTCAATTATCGACATAACATACAGACTCATGGATCAAACGAAGCCTTGATGCAAAGAATTAGCTCACAGAAGCTTCTACAAACAGCATGAATGTGTTTCTAGTGACTGTGAAAGCTCCAGCGGACTCTCTGGGTTTCCAGCACCAACACAGACAGTCTGATAGCAGCTGCTCATGGCTGGTTAGCTCAGTTAACTCAGTTCCTGCTTCACTGCTGTGGTCAGCCCGTCAATCACTGCGCTCACTGTTGAGGCCACGCCCCCTACAGTCTCATTAGCTGAGCAGGAGGAGCAGGCCTGAAGGGTGCAGTTACAGAAATTTACCATGATGTTTACAGTATTATTATTATTTACAGTAAGATACAACCACTTGATGTAAAGCTGCAGCAGCAAACAGGAAGTTGCGTACCGGCCAAAGAACGCCACCTTCATGTGTCTCCTGAGCAGAACCTCTCGGATGGTCGACAGCTTGGTGGCACAGCTCTGCATCTCCAGACTCTGCTCCTCCACAGCCACCTGAGCCAGGTCATCGCCCCGCCACGCCTCTGACAGCACACAGCAAACAATGCATAAGCAGCAACAACAACAACAACAACATCTAGTCCTGCCTGCTGGTTCAAATACACTCATAATGAACCAGGAAATTCAACGACTAGTTTCTACATCTTTAAGCTCCAGTGAGTCACATTAATATAATATTCATTATATTATTATCATATATATTATATTAGTGTTTAATCTGCTTCGTTACCTCAGAATGAGACGATTTATTTACAGAGGGAGCGGGTCCTTCTGGAGGAGAAGCTACACCACCACTAAATCCTGCAGACTGGAGCTTTAAATGAAATAACTTTATTAATCTGCAGCCAGTAAGTGTGTGTGTGTGTGTGTGTGTGTGTGTGTGTGTGTCTGACCGTCCACAAAGGCGGAGCCATCCTTCACAAACTCCAGCAGCTGATCAAAGATGGAGGTGATTGAATGCTTCGCCACGACGAAATGCCGCAGAGGAGACGGATCCGCGGCGTCCATGACCCCTGACACACACACACACACACACAAACACGGTTGGTCTACAGATGAACACATGACGAGTCACTGCTGACAGTCTCTAACATACACACACAGTAACACACAC